TACATTTTTTAATATCTTGTTAACATGGGGGACTTATGTATAGCCATTGCCATGTTGCTAAATTCCTTCTACGACTGTTTCGAAAAATAAAAAAATTATAACGCATAAGCTAGGAGCTGTTTTAGTCAATTAACCACATCTGCAATATTCTCTTTCATTTGCGATATCTAAAATAAATCAAATGACATAACTTTTAAGAAAACTACTTTTATTATAAGCACTTTTTTCCTAAAGCGTAATGTAAACATATTTATTAGCACTTATTATTATCAATAACACTGTAGGTATAAATACTATCAGAGACTTCTTAATTAGGTATAAAAAGTTCCCAACAAAAACTTGTTTCATTCATTAACAGAAGCACGGAGCATATCATGGATTGTATACAGACATAACACATTATAATCGAAGCAACTTGTGTGTGACAGTTTCATTAAGCCGCCAACACATGTTGATCGAGCTTAACCCAACGCGAGCGTTTAGACGTTAGGCAAGTTTGGAGAAGACCAATGTAAGTGGCCAATATAGACGAGCTTTGTGGAGTTGCCCATACGTCAGTGCGGTATTAGTTAATATGGACAATATGAGACATTTTGTTGGCGAGCGATTACGAATGCCGACAAGGCAACGCTAAATGAAGTCTATACACGATGCCGCTTTCCTCTACTCGGCAAATTAGGCAAGACAAATATGCTGTCTATACGTTGGTATTGCCTTCACTTGGCCAACATGTATAGGCGGCCTTAAATTTTACCGACAGTTAGTGAGCATGTGTGAACTATTTCTCACTCACTATGTATGTAGGTAGGTAGGTAGACATAATAAGGCTCCCACACAAGCTATGATAGAGACGTCATTTTAGCAGCGATTTATCTTTCAATCATAAGTTTTTCTTAGATGCTTAAATCTAACAACGATCTTACACTATTTAATACTGCCTCGACTACTTTTGAAAGTTCAATGTGACCCCAAGCAAGTGCCAATTTGTCATAAATAACCTATTCCTAAAAGTCGAATAAAAGAAAAAGAAAAAAAAAATTGCGGTATGCCTAAAACAATTTTGACCCCTACTTTTAACACTGGTTAGCATAGATTTCTCATTTCCTGAACTAAAATTGTTCAGTTTCTTTATGATCTCGCGTCTCCGTTCATACCAATTTATTGTAAAATAACTTTCCATAAAAAAAATCCTATGTGTGATCTTCAACTTTTATCTTCTTGACAAAGGGTATTATGTATCTCTTATCTATTAGACAAGTCCGTCCGTCCGTCCGTCCGTGGTGCTGTTTCAGCGGCCAAACCGTAAGAGATAGATAAAGAGAATGTTTAAGTTATAAGTTGAGAATAGTCTGATAAGACTACAAACCGGATGTGAGTAACGTAGCACTTCCGGTTTACGAGAAATCACGTGATTTCTATTTCAAACGAAACCACACAAAATCTCCGAAGTTCTCAATTATTATTATTTTTTTTGTGAACATTTGGTTCACTGGTTTGCTAGTTCTGTCCTATTTCGATATTTCAAGGGTCAATCTTTCATTAGGTTATATACCATTCACCAGAATGATTCAGTCGTGTTTTCATATATATTAGCATTGTATTGTATTTATTATATTTACAAAACAAATAGTTGTGTAGGAATAGGTCGCAGGTAAATCGGAATTTATGTAACATTCGGGGGCACTCTGTGTTATTCGAAGAGCTGATTATTCAGCTCGAACAATGCTTACACTAACGATAAGGATGCCTTTCTAATGAACACGCTCAATCATGTGCCATTTCAACAAAAAAATAAACATAATAATGCAATGCAGTCCATTATTTTCTTGACACCTTTTCTCCAATATTAAGTGAAATTAAATGTGTTCAGAGACATAACTACAAGAACTGTAGACGCTCAATAAGATAAATGTTGACATAATAGAAATGCCTCATCCGACTGCATGACGGCGCGGAATCTGGATACTTATTATTGAATCGCTCGTATAAGATTGACTTTCCGTATGCGACATGAGTCACACTCGACTGCATGCACGATGCTGTTTTTCAGCATTTTTAAACTGTCTGTCTCAAAGCTGTCAGAATAATGCGAACTATTTAATATCGTAGAGAAAGAGAGGAACTTGATGGTGTAGGTGGTTAGCACATTCGGCCTGCGATCGTGAAAGTTAAACAACTTTTACAATAGTCTGTCATTGGATGGATGAACCAAAACTTATTATTTTGAGCTCCTCCGTACTTCGGAAGGCACGTTAAATCATTGTTTCCGGTTGTATCTGCAGTCGTTACCACCCACCAATCTGCGCTGGGCTCGCCTGGTGGATCAAGGCCCAGTCTCCTTTCTAATAGAGAAGGTCTGTGCCCCTGCAGTGGGTACGTTAAGCCTGATATTGATGACAGAGAAAAAACTAAATACCAATACTTCATCGCAACGAAATCTCTACTCCAATAGAAAAAACCGGACAAGTGCGAGTCGGGCTCGCCCACCGAGGGTTCCGTACAATATTCCAGATACGCAACATAAACGGCCGTATTTCTTTTTTAAGTTAACTCAAAAGTTAGACAGCTTCAAGGGACTGTAGACTTGAGGATATACTCAAGTCAAGGTTTAAATTTTCATACCTCCACGCATTCCCGAGATAAAGGGTCTTGACGGACAGACGGACAACAAAATTGATCCTATAAGGTTACCGTTTTTTTCTTTTGAGGTACGGAACCCTAATAAATAAATACGTAAATTCATTACGTTTAATTTTTATTTGAACCTATCTCTCGCTCGGAACGATCGCCTAGCGACGAGTGATAGACAGCACTCGCTGCAGACGGGAGAAGCAAAAATACCGAAATCCTCATGACAAAAGAAAATTGATAGAAAACGAGCGCTCGACGGCAGGCGAACGATTCAAAAATACGGCCCCTGTGCGGATTCCCGGCCTGCAGGCACCAGCGCAAGCGCAGGTGAAACGCGCATCGAAAGTAAAAACACGGTGATTACCGCCCGCGGCTACGTAGGCGCCCGAGATGACCACTCGTCTGTGGATTGAAGACCCTTCGTCGATAATCAAACAAATTAATGGTTAAAGACAATCAGTTACAATGTTAGAATACGCAAGCTGTAAACTTACGCGCGCGTAGGATGGCCATTTTATATATCGCTCTCGCTTGTAAACAAGAATTTGAGTCAAATGTGGTTACGTGATGTGTACGGTAGACTGAGAGAAAATTACACATACTTACTTAAATTTAACGTATAAATACAGGTAATTCGCTAATTTCATGCACCACCAACGCATACCTACTGTAAATTTAGGGCCTACCTATTTTTAAGTTTAGCTCATTTACTAGTTAACAATTTACATATATGAATGGATTATCTTCAAATCGTTAAGTCACCCTAGTCAGATTTTATAAAGTTCCTCATTCGCTGCTTATTATAAAAACAAATGTTTAAATTGACTTCTTTATTCGACCAACATTTATGACAAATATCCAAAAGATAACTGCCCAATAACGTAATCACAACCCATATTTGGTTGAACATTTCAATCGCAGTCTCAATGGCTTTTAAATCCATCTTGTGTGGGAGTTTTGTGACGGGTATAATAATTACCTCAAGGACATAGTGAACAACTGTTACCAGGGTCCTAAGGTCACCGGCGGTAGGCAGACATTCCAAGAATAAAAAATAGACGTAGTTAAAATAACATGTCCATAAGAATTCTGCTTAACTCTCCAAGTACTTAACCCGTAGTAAAACGTCTCTACGAGTATTTTTTTTCTCTTGCAATAATCCAGTATCAGTAGACTATGTAAATATGTAATATTTATTGTAGTTAAAATGATAACAATTAGGTATAATGTAAAGTAAGATAATAAGAGATCGAAGATGTAGAGGATATGATAGCCATATTTATATCAATTACTAGCGGCCCATCCTCGCTTCGCTTCGGTGTAGAGCTGAAGCGTAGACTACAGTTTTTGTTCTCAGGCTTGTTTTATACACAATGACATTCATCTATGATTATTCTTATACCTGCATGCAAAGTCTCAGCCCGTTCGGTTTTAAAATTGACAAAATTTCATACAAACTTTCATTCCCTATTTTATCCCCTTGGGGGTAGAATTGATCAAAATCCTTTCTTAGCGGATGCCTACATCATAACATCTACCTGCATGCCAAATTTCAGCCCCATCCGTCCAGTGGTTTGGGCTGGGCGTTGATAGATTACTACGTCAGTCAGTCACCTTTGAGTTTTATATATATAGATTATAAAAAAACTGAAGATGGTATATTTATCTTTTCCAAACTTCTATTGACATCACGTCGCTCAATTGTTTTGCCTTCCCAGAATCTCTCCACTAACATTTGAAATTTATGGTATGGTATTAAAGTTCAAATTGACTTTTAAGTATTATTACGAATCGTTTGTATGGGAGTAAAGAAAAGTTTTGTTTTTTGACATTTTCAGGCATTTTTTTTAATTTTTTCTCTTCGTAAGAACCATCCTCGTACTTCAAGGAATATTCTAAAAAAAAATCAGCCAAATCGGTCAAGCCGTTTTCATGTTATGTCGTGACAACGGAAAACGGGTTTCATTTTTATATATATAGATATAAGATAGGGGTACTCTGTGGTAGATAGAACAGCTACAGACAGGCTCACGCCCGTTCTCTGAGTAGGTCTCTCAGCTGTACTATTCTGCAAGATCAAACTCACTATTTACGAGTACTTCGGGATCCGCGGTATGATTTAAACTTAGAATACGTATATCAAATAAATTTCAAATCATAGCGACAAATTCCGCGGTGAAAAATGAGTTTGATCTTACAAAATAGCACTGCAAAATAATCACAAGCAGTGTGTGTTTTTAGGAAAATCAAAATGATTCATTACTGTGTCCTAAACTTTTTAAGGATGTCAATAACCTTACTTCTGACGAACACGTAACGTAACAATTTAAAAAAGAAGTGATCTGAATTTGAGCTTTGATTTGTTCCAGGAGCACAGCAACCGCTAATGTTGGTGAGGCCGGCGCCGATGACGCGACCATGCGCGAGGAGGAGCTGGAGGTGGCGCTGAAGGTGGTGATCGTGGGCGACGGCGGCGTCGGGAAGTCCAGCATGATCCAGCGATACTGCCGGGGCACATTCACGCGTGACTACAAGAAGACCATCGGCGTAGACTTCCTCGAGCGGCAGATAGAGTGAGTACAGCACACTCTCTGTATATTAGAGTGCCGGCGGCCTCGGAAAGACTAGCATGATCCAGCGTTACTGCCGGGGCATTTTGACGCGTTACTACAAGAAGACCGTCGGCGTAGACCTCCTCGAGTGGCAGATAGAGTGAGTACAGCACAGGCTCTCTGTATATTAGAGTTGCGGCGGCGTCGGAAAGTCCAGCATGATCCAGCGTTACTGCCGGGGTACCTTCACGCGTGACTACAAGAAGACCATCGGTGTGTGTGATATTTCTGGTAGAAAAGACTTCAACGAGTTAGTACGGAATAGGTAAATAAAAGAAACTATTTTCTTACTATTAGCAAATATGATCTGTACCCCTAGCACAAACCAATATCGCATTCGTAACGTTAGCGAGTCCAAAATGTCATTGTCAAATGTGTACTGATTTTTAGTTCTCGTTACGTACTTTGTGGCGCTGCTGCTCAAGTCTCCATACAAAATTTAACGTTGACATTTAGCACTCGCAAACTATTCAAATTCGATAATGGTTTGTGCTAGGGGTATTGTACCCCTAATGTCAAATTTTGTATCGAGACTTGAACAGCAGCGCCACAAAGTACGTAACGAGAACTAAAAATCAGTACACATTTGACAATGACATTTCGGACTCGCAAACTTTAGGGATTCGATATTGGTTCGTGCTAAGGGTACTAATTGAGCATATGAGCTTATGAATAACGTTTCCTCGAACATCATTACGTAATCTCAAATGTCCATTCACCAAACGCGATGGAACTGATAACTTTGTTTATGGCCTTGTAAGTATGTAACTGGATCGCAAATATCAAAGTCACTTACAAACTAGATGAGTTTTGGTCATATAAACCTCCACTATCTTCCGTTCAGCTGCTCACAAGGCCTAAACTCTAAATCTATTTATGTCATTCAGAATTGATGGTGAAGACGTCCGGCTGATGCTGTGGGACACGGCCGGCCAGGAGGAGTTCGACGCCATCACTAAGGCGTACTACCGCGGCGCGCACGCGTGCGTACTGGCATTCTCCACCACGGATCGGGACTCCTTCCTGGCACTGCACTCGTGGAAGCTGAAGGTAAATGACTTCCAATGATGAAGAAATAGGTTCCTCCTATATAAGCAGTGTAGACATCTGTACCCTTAGTACGAGTATTACAATTACGAAAACTATGATAGTTTTCGTGAGCTCGCACTCGTACCAAGGGTACTGATTTATTGTTTTCGTTTCAATACAAATAAACAGTGTTTAAATTGTTACATTAAATCATTTGCGTCTTCTTAAATTTTAAGTATTTATCGGCTACTTTTCACCAAAATGGACAGAAACATAATTTACAATTACGAAAACTATGATAGTTTTCGTGAGCTCAAACTCGTACTAAGGGTACTGAAACTGTGGGACACAATGAGCCAGGAAGGGTTCGACGCCAACGTGCGTGCTGGCTTTCTCTACTACCAGGGATTCCTTTCTGGCACTATCCTCGTGGAAACGCAAGGTAAACTACTCTTTAAGATACTAGGTTCCTACTTTGACAGTGAAGTAGTCCGGTCGATGCTGTGAGACACGGCTGGCCGGAAGTTCGGCGTTTTTAACCACGGACTGGGACTTATTCCTTACGTTGCACTCGTGGAAACTGAAGGAAACGACTCTATAAGGTAAAAGAGGCACTGCTAATAACCTCATCACATTCTTTCCTAATTTTGCGGGCATCGTAGTCCCGATTATTGACCTATACTTTTGAAACATAACGTTATCATTTATCCAAAGTATGGTCACAGGCGGGCCAAAGTAGGTAGGTAAATAAGTATTATAAATTCTGTCATTGTCTGATTTTGGTATCGAATATCTGCAATGCAAAGGCAGTATAAAGAATCGCTCGTAAACATTTTTATTTTGTATTATTTCAGGTAGAAAACGAATGTGGCGAGATCCCGACAATAATAGTTCAAAATAAAATTGATCTCATGGATCAATGCGTCGTTGGACCGTAAGTATTACGAATAGTACTTATTTTAAATCTTTGTTCCAAACAGTGCTTATTTGTTGGATTATCACGACTGAAAAAAAAACGACGGGTTACACTCCGGGGTAGCCTGCAGAAGTGAAAACTTGAATATTAACGTTGTACATTTTTGATTATTTGGAATGGTTAGGGAATAATTTTGCACGACTTGCTTTAATTGTCAGTATTAAAGTACTATCATTTATGTGGTAGAATACAATATTTATTTATTGCGCTAACGTACACAAACAAACATGACAAATTACATTACATTAAAAAAGTTTATTTCTCAGAAAAATCAACTTACATGAAGCACGTTTAAGCGCACTGAGCGACATCTATTGTAGAAAAATCAACTTACATTAATCACATTTAAGCGCACCTAGCGACATCTATTGTAAAAAAAGCATTTTCTTCGCAATAAAGCTACCACCTGGATGTCCTAGATAGAGACTAATTATTATAATACGATAAAATAAAATATTACTATGTTTGGTCCAATATATTGAAAGTCAACAACCTTTCCAATTTTATTGTTTTCGTCAGATCCCCGATCAGGTCACGTGTCATGACACGATCAGCCCACGTGTCCTGACGCGAGTTTATAATTTTTTACCCATACAAAAAAAAGTGTACAATGCCGCTAAAGAAGTTTTCACTTCAAAAAGGATAAAAATATACTATTACTATATTTATCTACACCCATGCTTTAAAACCTTTGTTACAAATTCTGGAACAGCTTATTGCCAACGAAATACTATGCCAACTTCATAATAACACTCCTTCGCTTTTTAAATCTCTTCAGCACCATGGGCTTACTCATCAGACAGCCACAATTTTCACTGCTCGATGCGTGGTATTATAAATTTACAAAAAAGGAACATTGACATTCATTTCGTTCGTTTAACTACCACAGCGAAACTTTTCTTGAATATTTAGTTCAAATCGGATATGAGTAAAGAGATACGTACAGAGACCAAGCTTCTTTAAAGCTGTCCAATTTTTCTCTTTTTTGGTAGAGTTGGCACATGGGGAGCATATTAAACTCCACTGTTTTCAGTAATCTGCATGTAGAATAAATAAATAACGATATAAAAGTGTACCACTCCAGCCATACTCATGTATCTGGTCAGTACCCAATCCCCAACTCCGTTGAGCCCTGGAACCTTACTCACGAACAAACTCACTCAACTTTTAAACTTCACTGTTGATAAATTGCGATTTGATGGCTGTGCTATAATATTTATGTACAATCAAGTGTTTATGAAATTCATTCCTTGCGTTGCAGTGACGAAGCGGAGCTGGTGGCGCGTGCCCTCGGATGCCGACTGATGCGCGCCTCAGTAAAGGAGGACGTGAACGTGGGCGCCGTGTTCCGAGCGTTGGCCGCGCGCTGCCTGGCCGACCTGCGCCGCGCCGACGCCGCTGACGCCGCGCAGCCGCCCTGCGTATCACCGGTCATAGGTATGTGAGGACGGCACATGGGCTCAGGGTACCGAGCGTTGGCCGCGCGCTACCTGGTCGACCTGCGCCGCGCCGACGCCGCTGACGCCGCACAGCCGCCCTGCGTCTCACCGGTCATAGGTATGTGAGGACGGCACGTGGGCTCCGTGTTACGAGCAATGGCCGCGCGCTGCCTGGCCGACCTGCGCCGCGCCGACGCCTTGCGTCTCCTGGGACATCCTACTAGTTTTTGGCGTTTGGTTAAGGCCGTGCAGCACAACTTCTGCCAGCCATCGCTACCACCTCTGCGATGTCCAGATGGATCACTAGCTCATAAGCCGCAAGAGAAAGCCGATTTATTGGCAAAGCTCTTTGCTGCTAACTCCCGAATCGATGATTGCAATGCACTGCCATTAAAATAAGGCATCATGAGTTGCAATCACTCGACGTCCGGAAAGCTAGTGGACCCAATGGCATCCCAGCAGTTGTGTTAAAACATTGTGCAGCGGAGTTCTCCCGTGCTTACGCGCTTGTACCAACTCTCTTACTCTTTGGGGCGTGTGCCGAGCCTTGGAGGACTGGTATTGTGCAACCCGTGCCTAAAAAAGGGGACCGCTCAGACCCGGCCAACTATCAGCCGATAGCTGTCACCTCAGTGTTATGTAAATTCTTAGTAAGGGTCCTTAATTACCATCTGACCCGCTACTTAGAAGATTATTCTCTTACCAGGATACCAGGAACTTGGTTGAGTTCAATGCTTAGAAAACCAAAGCTCTTTCACGGCAAAAAAATCGCCATTCCTTCCCCTTCCCTTTCTTCAGGGCACAACACTGGCGCTACAAAGCAACATCACCGTACTCGGTATAGAAGTTCGCTCAGACCTGAATCCAAGAAACCGTAATCAAAACAGTTTTACGCAAACTTGGAGTCTTGAACAAGGTGCGGCGTTATTTCACGCCAGATCATCTGTGCTTGTTGTACAAAACGCAAGTGCGGTCCTACGTGGAATATCGCTCGCACCTCTGGGATGGCTCCGCTTCGTTCTTTCTCGATGCCTTGGATAGGTTGCAGCGGCACGCTGCCCGCATCATTGGCGATGAAGAGGTAAGTAACAAAATCGAGTCTCTACAATTACGCCGCGATGTGGCATCATTGAGTTCATTCTACCGACTACAACACGGCGAGTGTTCTGAGGAGTTTTTCTCCCTTATCCCTCCATCCCCTGTTTTTCAGAAGACCACGCGCGCTGGCCTACTTTGTCACTGACTTTATGTGACTACGATTCCAAGGCGAACAAAGAAGTTTGTTGACTCATATCTTTGTCGTACTATTCGAAAGTGGAATTCTTTGCCCGCGCACGTGTTCCCCATCCTACAATCTGGCGTCCCTTATGAGAGGCGTGAAGAAGCATTTCTGCTGGCCGGCAAGGTGAGGATGGTTGGCGTGGCAGTTAACAACTGCTGTAACAGCTATTTTCTGTCTGGACTCTATCACCACTTAACATCAGGTAAGGGAATAGTCATTTGCCTACCTATATATATTATTACGAAATAAAAACAAAGATTCATACAAATCCCACCTAATAATTACAAAAAATCTTTTAGTACTTTATCATCATCAACACAAGCCTTATAGTGTGCTTACTTTGGGGCTAGGCTAATTGGTGTGAGTGTTGGAAATATTTATTTATTTATTTATTTATCATCAACCTATTAATGTCCCCACTGCTGGGACACAGGCCTTTCCTATCGACGGAATAGGAAGATTGGGCCATGGAAACATCCACCACGCGGGCCCAGTGCGGATTGGCGGGTGCTAACGGCTGCAGATGCAGCCGGGACCAACGGTTTCACGTGCCTTCCAAAGCACGGAGGAACTCGAGATAGAAGATTTTTGGTCACCCATCCAATGACCGACCACTGCGAGAGTTGCTTAACTTCAACAACCGCAGCCGAAGGCGCTAACCACCCGCGCCATCAAGCTCCTCTTAGTACTATATCGACCTTTAATTTTAACTATAGTTTGACAATGTTTCAGGTACATTTACGAACCACAACAGCAACGGCACTATTCTACTGCGGCCGCCAAAGCACCGGCCTGGCAAGAAGAAGAACGTATTGAGGAACGCTTGCAGAATACTGTGATCGTTGATGTTTATCACACGTAACACTTTAATTACACGACAGCCAAAAAAAGGACTGTAATATTTTTGTAAAGGTGTTCACATAAAAACACTATTGTGACATAGGTGTCATAGAAGAGGATTTCACGCCGAAGTGTTTATTATAACGTAAATGTACTTATTTTTTTTTTCAATGTGAAATGATTGTAATTGGAAGATGGATGTGTTCTGTAATTTTAGGCGTAAATCGCTTGAATTTCAACACTATAGACAGACGTTTTTAAAGAATTAAAAAAGATGCAAGTGATTTTAAGTGAATAACAAACATTTTTAAAAGAGTGTGTGCGTTACCACTTAAGCCAAGTCTGTACACACCACGCGGTCCATCCTGCTCATGCCGTCGGACATTTATAACGGTAGGCATGTATAATTCTATTCTAACTTTTAACGTTTAAAAAGAAACAATAATTTATAAAAATATATAACGCAACTTTCCTATCCCATATAGTTAATCAAAATTGTATGGAAATGAGACAATGGCGATGACACTTCTCAATCTTACTGAAAAAATTTGGATTTTTGCGAAAACGCAAGTCACCTCTGTAAGATTACGAAAAGAATTGTTGGCTTATTATAAATATTCTTGAATTTTTCTGGTTCTTGGTTTCACACTAGATGTTAAGTTAGTGTTGTAACTATGAAGCGCGTCCCGAGTGAGCGTAACGAGTGTGCGAAGCGCCAAAAACAGTGATATATAGAGCCACAGAACACAGAAAATGGTTAGAAAGGTCTTGTGGGCGGCAGGCGCGCCTCAGTTATGATTGAGCTCATAACTTGACCAAAACTTGGTTCTGATTGCGTCGTTTCTCTCGGATGTGAACGCTGATTGGTTCGATTGTTTGATGTCGCGTCGTTTGATTGGCTATTAGACAGAAGTGTAGTGGGGGCGAGCCGGCGATTTCGATTCCCGTACAAACTATGATCACCCTTCTAACCTCTTGTTTTCTGCGGATAGAGCAATGTCATCGCCATTTTCTATTTGCAAAGCCAGCTGTCTCCTTTCAGCGACCTGATTACATTACTTTATCTCGTACCGCAATTCCGATTGAAAGATTCTAGTTTAATATACCTAATTATGTTTCTTAAAGATGTGTAAAAATATGTATAAAATATTAACAGCTAAGCATACTCATTATAAAGAGTTTTAGGAACATTATGTGTCTTCTAACCACGGACCTGAAACTTTTAACCTATATGAATTTGATATACAGGCAGTCCTCGACTTACGTCGTTTCAAGTTACGTCAAACAATGTTTTGACACTATTCCTCAAGGATACGTCAATTGTTTCGATTTCCCGCATAGGAGAATTCACTTGTCGCGAGGTCAATTTCCGTGGGGCCGGCGTCCGTGGGGATGTCTCGACTTACGTCGTTTCGATTTACGTCGTGTATTTCTAGAACCTAACATGCCGTAAGTACGAGGACTGCCTGTACTATTTTTATTTTATCTGTATAATAGTTATATAACTACTAATTAGATTTAAGTTTGTTATGGAAATGAACGTGTACAGATTAGATGTAGTAGTGTTAAAAATTTCTATGTGCAATGGTGAATAGATTGTATTACGACTAAGTACCAGATATAATGACTAGGTTATTGTCTGTTTACACGCAATTGGCTTAGATAGATAGATTGGTGGCATAAAGTTTACAAAAAAACTTCGATCAACAACACACTGTCTGCGCATCGCGCTGCTTGCGTGTGCAGTCGCGTAAAAAGAGTCAGTAGACTTCACCTTGCTCTCGTACTCACCTTAAGGTTTATGAAAATACTAGCGGCCGACCACGACTTCATCCGCGTTATGTTTTTTGAAAATCCCTCAGGAACCTAATTTTTTTCGAGTAAAAAGTATCCCATGTCTTAATTCAGGTATCTAATAAACTATATGTATGCCAAATTTCATCCAAATCCGTCCAGCCGCTTAGACGTGAAGAATTAATCAACATACACACTCACAAACTTTCGCCTTTATAATATTATGTGATTACGTTTAAAGAAATTAAAAGACCCTGAATACGAAAACGGGATATAACGCCCGTAACACCAATTAACTACTTACTCAAAGGATATAAAAATTTTGTGTGCACTTAATAGTACCTAACTTAATTAAAACTTTAAAAAATATCAGTTGTACTTATATATAACTATGGTGACATTTCACTTGGCTGGCACTTGCAAATTTCTGCTGGCTTTAACGCGCAATTGCAAGGGTGGATAAATAATTGCCTAAGACTAATTTAATTGACAAAACATTGGCTTTATTTACACATAAGGACCTAATTGACAAATCAGGCCATTGATTACAACTTGCTATTTTTTTTGCAACTTGTATGGATGGTTCGTATTGTCATGTATTTGCTTGCATTACAATGTGTAGTGCCAACATCAAGTTTTTTGTTAAAGTTTTGTCACGAATAAAATGAAATGATGGAAGATCTGCAAGTCGTTTTCTAACTTTAAATAATAGTCATTATAAAAATTTAAGGCATAAAATCGTTACAACGAAGTTATGTAGATACTATTTGTTCTCACTTACCTACATTGTATTTTGTATGAAATTGTAATAAATTATTTTGACATACAGGATTTTTCTTCTTCATCTTCTAAAAATCAAGCTTAGCACTAATGTATGGGAGGCTATAGCGAAATCCTACGTTCTTTGATAAAAGTAAGTCCTATGAGTAAAAAGAGTGTAAAAATTATATGGAACGCAACATGCATGTTACATTACATAGGTATTCAATGTTTTGTAGAGCCGCGGATAACGGATACCGTTACCCCTTTGGAGTCCAGTTGCAAATATAATAGGTATAAATATTTCCCACACTTACACCAATTAGCCTAGCCCTAGCGCAAAGTAAGCACTGTAAGGCTTGTGTTATGGGATGCTAGGGTAACGGATAGAATACATACACTGATACATATATAATTTATCTAGAAATATATATAAACAACCATGACTAAATGAAGGTACAAATGCTTTTATTCATCATACTCACATTAGCCCCCAACGGGACTCGAACCCAGGACCTCCGAGTAAGCGACGCAATGAAACCCGGCGTATATACCACTCGGCCACGGAGGTCGTCAAATACAGCGAATACGGCAGGAGTATACACAGACCCCTCTTTCCCAGTGGGCATTTTGGGCAAGTGCCCAGGGCCCCGCGATCGATAGGGGCCTCCCTCAGCTCAAATACAAAGTCCCTAGTTCCTGTCGGATCACCAAGCGATAACCAATATTTATTACCAAAAACTTATATAATTCGATGAAATCGAACCTAAATTACTGACCACAATACCAATTTTACAAATTACTAGCTTACTAGCTTTTACATAAGCGAAACTATTCTACTCTCGGCCAAAAATTAGGCTTTCCGACTTCAGCATGCTTCGATAAATTTAAATATACATATAATGGTATACTATGCACATACACATTTAAAGAAAAATCATCAGTAGTACCCACATCAGTATGATTCACATCAAAGTAATAGGGACCCCATTGTCCTAATATGCCCAGGACCTCCAATAGGTTAAAGACGGCCCTCATTATACAGCTCCAGCCATCCCTATATTACAGGCTTACCCAATCCCCTACTCTGTGGAGCCCTAGAACCATACTTACCAACATAATAACACCAAAGTAGTGATGTTATTTTACTGCAATCGTATGGTGCAGGTTACTTCTCCAGACGAGAGCAACATTTTTTTTAAATTTTAATTTTAATTCTTACAGACATATAGACTCAAAAGATACGATATGCTTACACATTATCAAATAATTGTGTATGTTTAAAATAAAATCCGTATTAAATAGCCAATAATATATTTCAAGATGAAATTTTTAACAATTTTAATTTAATAAGTAGGGTAATATAGACAACGCCGGTATCTATGCCTAATAACGTAAGTGAATAACAAAGAAGAGCTTTAACTTGCCGTAAGAAATTTTACAATTTTGGTTAAATTTATAATGATAAATTAATAATACAACAAAAGTATCTATAAATGAAAAGCCAAAAAATTAAAACATTTTTTTTTATTTTATTAAGAGATTATACTTATGAAGTTTCCTTAATATGCCCTCAATACACGTACTTGAATATTTATTATTAGGAAAAATCCAATCATGTGATGTTGATGACCAATAAACACCTAGTTAGGTATATTTATAAAATTCTCATACACTTGGAACATTTACATAATTACGCGTGACATCCATAGTCATTCTCCGCTATAAACTTTATTACAGCTAAAAGTAAAGTTATTAAGATATTGTATTTCATAATGCACTATCGATATAGCCATCTCGAGTTCTATTCAACGAAAACCAACAATTACAATTTTAAAAAATAGTAATAAGCGATAAATTATAAAAAATATCGTAAGCTTTCATAAACCCATACAATAAATATATTTGATACATATAATAAAGCTTTCGGTAATTTTATAGTCAAATGCTTATTTAAAACTAATGTTTCCATTATCGTTGTAACCAATAAAAACAATGCCGCTTATCTTTGTCCCCCCGCTTTAACACATATTCCAAAGGTGTATTAATTATTTGGACAAACCCATCATAAAATACAATATAATTAAAAAAGGTGAAACTCTAATAAGATTGCCAGCAGGCAAAAAATTAGTTTTCTTATACCACATGTAAATCATTAAAAATTGTGTAAGTAAAATATGCAAATGAAGGCACCGGCTGGCTTTTCTAAGTCATTATGATATCTTCCTAGAGAAAAAAATTACCCCTATGTGATTTATATCCACAGCAAAATTTAGTAAAAACCATATAAAACCCTAACCTTCCACTATCGAGACACGCGAATAAGTCACAATATACTCATTTTAAACACAATATAGGCATTTCGCTTGGGTTTTCGTATTTGCTATTTGTAAACTTGACAACAGTCTGTCCTTTTCATGCTTTATAAGGAATGAAAAGGCTTGACTAATGTCAAGTTTACAAATAGGAAACACGAATAGTCAATCGAAGTGCCGGCATTAGGATATAGTGCGATCCAAACTTTATGGCGGATGTGAAGTCAGCATCGAGCGCAATTACGCGCAGACTTCAATTCAG